CCCTATCTAAACCCGACGGTACTCCAGCCACTTCATCTGCGGAAATGGCGAAATTGTTCCGGTCCCATTTGGACCAGGTTTTTAACATCCCCTATCCAGTCAGTCATTCCAATCGCGATCCCTTAACTTACCAATCCTCGTTAGATCACGTTGTCTTAACAGTCTCCGAAGTAAAAGAACAACTCAGACGCATGACCTCCTTCAGCTCAATAGGTCCGGATGAAATTCACCTGCGTATACTGAAAGATTCCGCGGACGTGTTGGCTGCCACATATGCCCAACTCTTTCAAAGTCCTTGGACACAGAAATCCTTCCACAACAGTGGAAGAGAGCAATTGTTATCCCTATCTACAAGAAAGGCAATAAACACTTGCCGGTAGCTGTAGACCTATCAGCCTAACCGGCATTACCAGTAGGATCTTCAACCACTCCCTTAAACGGCGTATTCTAAAGCATCTAACTGAGAACGGTTTGGTAGACGCTTTCCAACATGACTTCCTCCCAAACAGGTCATGCATCTCCAATATGCTGACCGTAATGGATGGTTTAACCGGTGCCTATGACGAAGGTCATATGTCATAAGCGATCTTCATAGACTTTGATAGAACCTTCGACAGAGTGCCACACATTCTTTTTTTGTACAAACTAGAGAGTTATGGCATCAGTGGCCGATTGCTTTCTCTATCTACTAGCTTTCTGTCGAACCGGTCCTTCGCCATTTGGATAGGCATATTCGCTTCTTCACACTCACGTTATGATGGCAAAATCAGTCAGTGACGCAGGCACGAGATCGCCCAACAATGCTGCTCAATGCGGGAGAAAAACGTGCCAGGAAGATGTAGAAATTGAAGGTATCCAATGTGAGGTCTGCTCCTTATGGTTCCATCCAAAGTGCGCTGATCTCTCCAAAGTGACCAACAGGGTTTACTGCCAACATGCTAAGCAAGCTTGGGTTTGCACTGGATGCAAATTAAAGGCAAGGGCGATAGCTAATTAGCAAACGCTCATTACTAAGTCGCCAAAAACGTTACCCATAACCCGGCCTGAAAAGAGACATTCAGATACCGCAACTCCGGAACACAGAGGAGAAAGTGAAAATAGCGTCCGATTGGGGGACAACGTTCATCACATTACCTGGACGGAAGGTTCCCCTGCCGTTATAGACCAGAAGGGTATGGCTACTGGAACGGTAGTTAAAGCCGAAAAAGTAAAGAGAAGCGAATGTCATCAAGAGGAGAATTGGGTCGTCATTGAGAAGTAATTGAACAAAATAAATGATGGAATCACATAGATGAAAGAGAGCAATGGAAAGTTGAAAACGGCTCAAGGTTGACACCAGAAAATTAGC